ATTTGTTGCAAGTGATGTAGCCCAAATAAAAACTTGAATCCTTCTACCTGATTTTGACAAGGCATGGAATGTAACTTGTCCTTGTAAAACCGGATAATGTACTGATCTTCATAACGGCCTGAGGGAAAAAAAACAGACATCAAAACTACTTCATAACAATACCTAATAAATTAGTTCGCTCGAAGAAGGGCGCTTACTAGAGAGGGGACACTGACATGTATTAGGTGCTTTGTGAAGACAACTGCGAGAAAAAGAGAAAATGCATAGCATTTGTTACCGCTGTTTCTATCCTTGCTGTCCTGTAGTGTTTCAAGGAACTCTTGATCTTCTTGTGCCTTAAGATCATCTTCATCATCACCCTCAGCTTCTGCGCGAGCAGCACTGCGTTGCTAAAAATAATTAAAACTCCATCAATAAAGTGTTTGATCAGTGGTACCTTAATGAGTTCATACTACTTTAAAAGGGTTATTGCCCTGGTGGAAAATGGGAAGAAGTTTTAAATTAGAAAACATGTACAATGGGCAAGGATATAAAGACAAGAACCTTTCTTTCAGTTAAGATAAGAGATAAGATAAGATAACCTTTATTTTAAAACGATGAGTATTAAAGCTACATGAGCTTGTGGGGTCGTTCTTTCAGTTCTGTGATTGTATTGACTTCAAGGCCAGTGACAGGAGCCTGAGTTGTGGTATCCATTCATTGTAGGCTTTCACGCTTTACTAGCATTGATTCCATGTTCTGTAGTCGGCGCAGTTACAAACTATATAAAAAAGTCTGCATACGAGCCAAGAGGCCAATCAGGCCGCCACTTATCTCCAGTTTCTGTAACATGAAGCAACTAGGAGTATTAAATTCTACTCCCCCCTGGATGGGATGCTAGTCCATCGCAGGGCTCAAACTAGGACTGCTCAACCCAGAGATGAATGCACTAACCATGAGGCCACTGCACCTCCACAACAAACTATATAGGCGACAAAATTCGAGAATTCAAGTGAGTGACAAATTCGAATTGTGACTGAAGTGATTTCACTGCAAGGTTTCAGAAGCTTCTTCATCTTCTCTCATTCACCCCAAAAAGAACCCCTGATTGAAGGTTTGGTTATGATGTACTGTAGTTTATTTAGTTTCAGCAATTATTAAGTTCACCACTCCAAAACCTAAATCCCTCTTCCCAATGTACAATATTGTATTTTATCCTGCAAATTAATAAAAACGTACCAGTTTTTCCACAGCTTCATCAATGACGTCTTGAATTTTGATGTGATGAAGTTTGTAGTGATCACAGAGTTGTTTGATGACAAGTGTTTTACCAGAGGCAGGTGGGCCCAAAATGCAGGCTCTAAGTGGCTGGACAAAAACGATTATAAATGAAGAGTTTTGTAAGAACACAAAATAATGTCCTGTTGAAAATAATAGTCTCAAGTCTTTCAAGATGGTGTGTCAAGAAACAGTGAGAATCAGAAACCTCTTCCCTATTTCCTTCCCTACACGATCTGAGGGCTTGCTCCCTAGGAAAACTGTGAAAACTTGTTCAACGCATCTTACATGTGCTTTCTCAACTCAGGGGCAACATGACCATGTTTTAAGCATTCATAAAACATATTATTTTATGGGCAACTGGCTGTTCAATAAAAAATTGAAATGTGTGAGAAACAATATTGTTTTAGCATGGGAGCATAAGATCGCATCCATTTGCAAAAGTGTCTTGCTCAATGTGTGAGGCTTTGAGAGCTATGTAGTAATCAGAAAGATGTTACATTGTTGTTTTTGTTGTTGTTTATTGTGGTCAATGTACTCCCTTGCTAGTTCACAGGCATATCACTTAAACAGAAAGAAACAAACACATCAACTACACATAATAGGTTTAAAAATCCCAACTGGCAGGAGACAGACCAGTTGGCTATTTACAAACATGACTGAGAAGTTGAACCAGGGTCTACCGAGAAACAACTCCAGCTAAGTGGTCAGAGCAGGACTTAAACCAGAGACCTCCAGATTTCAAGTCTGGTGCCCTAACCATTCAGCCATGCTCTAACATGTAACATCAGTCAGTATTTAGTGATGAAAGCTACTCAAAATAGTTCATGAATCCATAAACAATGCAAGAATTAACACTGACATATTGCAAATCTTACCAGTAAGCCTCTTGTTTCTTTGTACTCTTTTATGACTTGATCTATGTTCTCTGTAAGGCCAGCCTAGAGGTTGTCATTCAAAAATACTGTAATATTAATTTTTATCAATAAAATTTCGGTAATACTCATATTAATACGAAAATTGCATCTCACTTGGAAATTACAACACCCCCATAAGAATTTTGTTGATCAACTAACAGAAGGCTTGTTTCCATAGTAAGCAACATGCATAAAGAAAGCTGCACTACAATCATAGGGCAAAATTTTCACTGTAAGATAAGTTCAGATAACAAACGATTGGGGATGAAAAACAGAAACTAAATAAATTAAACTGTCAATTGTATTCTAACTAAATATCCTTTGATCTAATCTGACCAGTTCTTACCTCTGACACCCAGGAGATGTTCATGCCTTCCTTGATGTATGTAGCATCCATTCTCAGGTTGACCAAGAGCATGTCAAAGTCAGCTTGCTATGAACAAATTCATTGAAATTTGTATCAAAAAAAGTCTAGCTCAAGAATATAACATAACTTTATGATGAAAAGGCTCTAACTCAACTCTGTACCTCTGAATACAAACAAAGAGTATAAATAAAATGTACATAATCATCAATAATAATACCTCAAGCTCTTTTATAAGCAATGCTTCTTCTTTAGTGATGTTCTTGACTTTTCCATTTCCAAGATGTAAACTTACAACCTGAACAAGGAACCATAGAATTTAGAAGTTAAGATATTTCAGTATACTCTGTCTGGTAATACTGACAATTCCAGCAACCCAGATCAAGTGTTTTTATAAATTCCAAAATAGGACATTATACCTTGACAATTTCTTCAAGGGTGTTCTTAGAATCATCCACTGCCACTAGGTAGCGAACTTTAGGATTCTGATCACAGATGTTCACGATCACTGCTGCAAGGTCCTTGATGTGGATGGCTGGGACAATGTTCTGGCCATTCCCGAAACACTGCAATGCTGGAGCCTGTCCGTGCCATGCCGTCTTGAAGAGGAAGTGAAATATCTCTTCTCCTGATCCATATGTTAACCCTGAGGCAACAACATAGGTAATGAACTTAGCCTTGTTTGTTTTTCCATGCTTGATGACAAGCTTCTCGGCACTGATGTGTGATTTGAAGTTAGGATGAGCTCTTCTACGGCGGTAGTCATCTTCAGTGAAGGAAATCTCTGGATCATCCTATTTGAAAAAATCAAACAATGCTTTTAAACATGTTTTTTGACTTTAAACCTTTGGCTCCTGTGCTGGCTGTAACCAGTCATGAGGAGTGTTGACCTTTGTTCCAATTCTGACATCATCACCTTTGACTAAAATTGGCATTGCTTATACTTAAGTTCAGCAGAAGGAAAAGACCTTACCAGTGACACCCAGGTCAGAGTGATTGGGTGAATTGAGCTTGAAATATGGGGATTGCACAAAAATGGTTAAAAATTAAAGTAAAAGACTCAGAGGAAAATCTCCCTCAACTACATGTACACTTGGCTACTCCGTGGTAAAAATTTCCTGTCTCGATATTTCACCGTTTTCAACAGTTTGGAGCTAAATTCATCTCATAACTGACCAGAAAATGTCAAAAATGTCAAAAACTGCATTTTCACCAAAAATCTTCACATGTTAATGGGTTAAGTCAGTTATAGCCCAATCATTAATTTAGAATTTTTCCAGTTAATTATTTACTACATCTCTTGTATGTTTGCATTGCAAAGGCTATAATTATGTTGGTCAGCATTTGAATTCTCAGCTCTAACACAAGCAGTGGATACAAAGGATTCAAGTTTTCATGTTTTGTCAGTGCTGTAAATTAAAATGAACCAGGGTATAAACTTACAGGATCAAGTGGCTTGCTTCTTGCCCACGTCATTACAGTGGATAGACAGATGAACACCTTCATTGTCTTGAAATTCTCCAGCTCTGCATGAAGGGCTAATAAAAAATATTACATGAGTATGTTATAATGTACTTGAAAAATTATACTTAGGGAATTATTGTGTATGATCATTAGATGTCAAGTTATTATAATTTTGATGTATTACTGAGGTTCTGTTTATTACCTTTCACATTTATCACTCTACAGATGGATCAACAGCAATTATTTTAGTTAATAAGTATCAATAATAAATTATTATTTTAGTGGGAGGCATGGTGGCCTCGTGGTTAGTGCGCTTGTCTTTGAACTGAGCGGTCAGGGTTGGAACCCTGACAAGGGACATTGTGTTGTGTTTTTAGGCAAGACACTTTACTCTCACAGTGCCTCTCTCCACCCAAGTGTCTAAATGGGTACCACGAATCTAACGTTGGGGGTAACCCTGCGATGGACTAGCATCCCATCGGGGGGGG